ACAAAACTCACTGACGATGCCGACGAAATGTCTGCGAACGCACCAAGAGCATAACTACTATAGGAGAGGACTTCGACTAACTAGGTCGTCCTGACAACACAACCAAGTTGCAAAAACGAGGTCAGACCACTTCCATACATCGCAGGGGGACTACGAAAAGAATAAAGGACAACACATCTTGGTCTTCATATACACGTTTAAACTTATTAATGTTGGAGTACCTTTCATTTCGTCTAAATTGGAGAGTGGGATTCGTAATTTAGCCTCAGCAGAGGCTGTAGAGGGATTACCTTGGAGTTGTGACTAGATCTATGCTTTTTTCGAGGCAAGCTCTTTCATTTCCGGCGAATAATGTCTAAACTTTCAGCTGTCAAATGACGGAAATTATCAGGACGGGGCATCATTCTTAAAACCGTACTCAACAAGAATGTTCCAATGAAGCCAACCGATACCTGGTTAAGAAAAATCCGCCGTCGTCTAATGGTTGGATCGACCTCCGATACTCTTAGTCACACACTTTCACTCGAAAACTAAGTGAATTCAGCCATTGTTAACCAATATACTCATAATTTTTACCAGTACTCGACTAATCTGTAAAAAAATAGCTCACGATCTCGCAAATTTATGCGAAAATTGGCTCCTGTACCGGATTTTCGTCAATTTTGCTTGACCTTGAAGACGCCAACTTGGGAGTTGGAGTAACTGATCCTGAGAGTGGGCTTTGGACAGGTTGGGAGAAGTTTCTCACAGCTTCAATGAGGGCTAGTGATTGAGCAGTGGGAGAAGCTGGAGCTGAAAATCTTAATCCGGCGACCTCAGGTGCCCGGGAGGAAGGTAGCAGACGTGGCGGCGGCGGAGGAGTAAGAGATAGTGGAAGTGAAGGGCAAGGTTCCATAGTTGGTGTCGAGGGTATTGGATCAGCCAATGTTCCGGCTAGGGAGGGCTCTTGTGAACCAGACAGCAAGTTTCGGTTCATGTAATCGAGGGAGAGGAGATCATCTGTGGCGTCACCGCATGGTTCGTAGTCAAGAGGCTCGAAGAACTCGATCAGCGTCTGAACCTGATTTTGGAAAGGGGCAGGGAAATGGAGGCATACACACAGAATAGTGCATTGCGAGCCATGCGAATAAATTTGGGGCATAGGTTTATCAACTCAAGTGGAAGTCAAATGAAGTAAACAAGTGCAATATCGACAAAGCGAATGATGTGGGAGACGATGGATAGTGAAGGATACCCGAAAATGGCACACAGTTACAGAGGGATACAAGTGCATGGTATATAAGCATAGTGTAATAAAAAATCAATGTCAATTGCAAATACTAAAGGCATGTCTATGGTAGGTTGGGTAGTAAAAATAAGTAAAGTAAATTATCACGTTGATTAAGTGAGTTTCCTGAAGTAATTGATATTATAATTCATATACGAAAAGGGAGTTTATTAATCGAATAGAATTCATTCTATTTTATTTGTTCTTCAATTGTTTGATGAATCCTAAGAATATTCAACTAATTCGCGTATTTTATGACAACGCTCTTGTAGAAACACTTGTAGAATGTCATTAAAAACACTGGAGAAATCATGGAAACAGCATTCTAACTGGTTGGGTTGGAGATTATCAAGGTGATAGGCAGCTACAAAAAGTGACATTGTATCCTCCGAGTATAATGTCTTCTAAGCCAAAATTTCTGGTTACCTAAAGGGAGGGATTAGAGCTATTCAATAGATTTTGAATTAACTCGCAAGTCACTAAAGCTGATATAAGTACTGGTGATTGAATTTCCCGCTGAAGGACTGGTCCTTGCTTCAAAAGAGGTTTTATCATCCAGGATTAACGACAGCCTTGACCTTGCCTCAGTCTTGTGAGCAGCCTCAGCGAACTTTGCAACGGTTCGTGTGTATTACGTTGCAACTATACCACCTTACCACTCTGCCATGCATCTCTGTATTCTACATCATTATATTCTGATTTTGTAGGTCCCGACAATATCAGTACACCTTGAATATGAATATGAATCAGCATGAAAAGAAAAACTTTTTCAATAATTATTTCAGCCAAAAATGCTTATCAACTCAGCCAGAAGTGTGTCCGGTTATACGCAATAGCTGTGACTCGATAGCATGTATCCAATTAATTAGGAATTAAATCATAGTATAGATAAATAAATCTTTTTCTAAAAGATCATTAAAATCTGATTATATGGAAAAGTTATTATGTTCTGCTCTAACTACTAGGAAAGGTCGCTGGGCTTTTGTACCCATACACTTATTCCCGCCCACCCATCCGTATACACACACACATATATGTATATATATATATATATATATAGAAAGATATACACAAGAGGGTTAGCTTAGATTAAAATGAAAGTAGGCAATCCAAATACTTATAAACCTGCCGGTAGTTCAATTCTTGTCAATATATATATAGCGAATACAGATAAGTCAGTAATTATTCTTGACTAATTCTATGTACGAAGTGTTTATAAGAATACATTACAACTCTGGTGCTGCCTGTCAAACTACATAACAAACAAAATCTAAGCACCTATTAACTAGAACCGAAAGAGGATGTCTTAGAGAGTGCTCAATCTGAAGTTACCAGTAAAACCGAAGCTAACAGAGCGAAGGAGATAAGGCTTCGTCATCTGTTGAGGTCAAACTGCAAAGCTCACTAACGCACCTTTAAACGAAGCGAGCTTAAGACCAAAATATTGAACTAAGCCTAATTTGAAGATAAGAAGGCCAAGATGGTGTGGCCTTTTGTGTGGTAGCAGTTTCGTTTCGTTGTATAGAGGTTGTT